TTACAAAAAGTCTTCTTATCCTAAAATACAACAATTCAAACATATTTACAGAAGTGACATCACCATGTTGCATAGCAACAACATGGCAACAGGTTACAATGCCCATTTTGTTTTGACATTTGCACACCATATTCCTATTATATACTCACTTGTATGCCTTTGGATCCCTTCCACATTATTTCTTAACATACAGAAATTGTATTTAAGCATAAATGATGTAGTTATGCCTGACTATTTTCCCTGGCAACTTCCAAGCAAGGGCTTGAAATAATGGTTAGATTTGCCTAGCAATGACCTACTGACAGCTTAAAATAGCAATGTTTCTCAGAAAAATCTCACTATATATCCACTATTATGTACTTGAAGAAAATTAATATGTATGTCTTTTAATTTATAAAGCAAAAGTATAAAATTTATAATGCAAAAGTCCTGCAATTTATGTTTCAGTTCCGAGATAAAGTAAACACAAAATATTCATCGTATTTATCCTTGTTATATTTTCAGCATTGACACCCCTAAGATAATACTTCATTTGGGTTAATTGCTACAATTTCCTTTGCAGTTGCATAGTTTCGGTGCAGTGGAATGCACCATGGCATTTGCAGTTCCCTTTGCAGTCACATTTGGTGCATCCACATTTAATTATGACTTTACATGCCTCAGATGCTAGCGATAGTATTGTCCATCTGAGTACGCACAATCCTGATGCGCCCCTAAACCATCCCCATAGGTTTGGTGAAGGAAGAAGTGGATCCACTATATACCATTATGTGTTCCTTGGAGAGTTGCTCGCATGACATGATAGAGTGCTGCATCTCATGTTGGAGGTACTCTATCTGGATCCATCTGTCATGAGTGAACATGTGCCTGCGCATGGTATTGAGATTTCAATTGTGCCCATAACTTCTGTTGTTTAGGTTGATGGGCGATCTGCTAGAGTCAAAAGGACACCTGTTAGATCATTAGATAAGTTCCGTTGCTTGAAAACTGTCACCTTGCTCTGATGGTAAAGTCCAGATGTGGTATCAGTTCCAGTATGGGCTTGGAACATTGGCAGCCCATATGATCTTTGTGGTCATAGTGCTCTAGCAATCTCATGAACTGGAATGTAGCGATACATTTTGCATTTTGAAAATGCTACATAGACCTCAATCTGTAGCTCAGAGGCACAGACTAAGGCTATCACAAGAACATTACTGTCCACTGATCTTATCATAAATGTCCTGCAACCTTTTCCGACACCATGAGACACATGCAAAAACATATATGTATCTGCCTCATGACATTGTTAATTTTCCACATTTGGATAGTAATATTCCACTGAACCCAGCATATGTTGTTGTGTATGTATCCCAACAGGGCTTGTTCAAAATACTAGATATAGTATATAGATTTTAAATCAAGACACCATATTTTACTGCTTAAATCGTTAGGTCAAGGTTATACTTGTTAAAAGCTTAAAATCCTATCTGGGCTTTGCTGAAACATACAAGTCATTAATTTTAGTTTCAAGTTTTACCACTTGAGATGCTGAAGGATGTAGGAATTGTGCAAAGAGCTCTATCTTTCAAGAAAGTCTTGCCAATTGCTTGGTAGTTTGGTGTCAGGATAGGATTTCTCAGAAACAATGACAACAAGATAGAGTTCTTTGCACTACTAGCAACTGTTACAAGACATATTATGGCAGACGATAGAATCTTTGTCTCCACCATTGCAGGAGAGTGCATCAGTAATCCTGCTAATTATGCCATAATAGTCCCTGCTCCCAGGAAGAGGCAAATACACATATGTTTTTGGATGTGTCTCATGGTGTCGGAAAAGGTTGCAGGACATTTATGATAAGATAGGTGGACAGTAATGTTGTGAAAGCCTAATAGCCTGTGCCTCTGAGCTACAGATTGAGAGCATTTTCAAAAGGCAAAACTAACCCTACATTCCAATTTATGAATTTGCTTGAGCACTACGATCACAAAGGTCACGTGCGCTGCCAATGTTCAACGCCCTTACTGGAACTTATAACACATCTTGATTTTACCATCATAGCAAGGTGACAGTTTTCAAGCAATGGAACTTATGTAATGATCTTACAGGTGCCCTTTTGACAAGAAGCACATGTATGGGGGCAGTGGTATATAGTGGATCCAGTTCTTCCTTCACCAAGCCTATGGGGATGGTTATGGAGCCCATCGGGATTGTGGGTGCCCAGATGGACAATATTGCCCAAGCATCCAAAGCATAATTAAATGTGGATGCACCAAATGTGACTGAAAAGGGAACTGCAAATGCCATGGTGCATTCTACTGCATCGAACTATGCACCTGCAAAGGAAATTGAAGCAATTCACCAAAATAAAGTATTATCTTAGGGGTATCAATGCTGAAAATGTATCAAGTATCAATGTGATGAATATTTCGTGTTTACTTTATCTCAGAACTGAAACATGAATTGCAATTTGATATACGTACATTGTAAGACAAGAAATGTCCCATCATGCTTTACACAAGAGACTAAAGATTTTTAAGTGAGCAACTATAAAGCTTTATGAATTACAAAAGACATACATATTGATTTTCTTCAAGTACATAATAGTGGATATATAGTGAAATTCATTGCTATTTTAAGATGTTGCTAGGTCGTTGCTAGGCAAATTTAGCCTTTATTTCAAGCCGTTGCTAGGGAAAATGGTCAGACATAACTGCATCGATACATTTGCTATATGATAAGAAATAATGTGGAAGAGATCCAAAAGCAGTGAACATATAATAGATATATTGTCTGCAAATGTCAAAATGGGCATTGTAACCTGTTGCCATGTTGTTGCTATGTAATATGGTGATGTCACTTCTGTAAATATGTTAAAATTGATGTATTTTAGGATAGAAAAACATTTTTTGTAATGGTCTTATAGCATCCTAGCATATATTAAGTGGATTTATATTGCAAAATATGTTATTTTAGGCGGTTGCTATGTGGTTGCTAGGCAAATATGTGATATAACAAAAAATCAAAGCCCTAAGATTAGAGTTTATCCTTGGATCTAACTTTGTGCCAAGTTTGGTTGCTCAATTCCCATTCTCCATTGGTGAATTATAGTGATATAAGGAGTTTGGAATTTGAATTTTCTATTAAAATTGTGTTAAAAAGCAGAAATAACAGGTATCCTGTGTAATCTCAATTTTTTTTCTAAAAAGGGCTTTAGAAAAAGGGCCCTGTCTCTTAAATATCTTTAAATACATAAAACTATAAGAAAAAACTCAAAAACAAACTTTAGTATGAAAACGCAAGATCATTCACCAATTGATTCCGCTACAAGGTTCAAAATTGATAAGAAATTGATGGACTCTTCACCCGGTGGTACACTGTATTCTCCACTGCACCTGCCATAAAATGCATCCCTGGGAAATAGCGTGATCGTATTCTTCCAGAATGAGATTTCCTCGAAGAAATTATATTTTATTGTTCAAATTACACAGTTTAATTAATTTCTCGATCCGCTTTTTGTCACGGTGACCGTGTCGGGTTACCGCGGATCTAGTAACAACATTTAATATTTATCAGTAAATAAAAAGGGTTAAGGATAATGACTACGTATGAAAAAATGGTAGCGAAAGTCCAATGATGGTCCATGATAATGTGAATTATGGACAGATTGCAGATTGCAATGTTGGAGGTTACTATTCCTGGCAGTCAGATTACTCAATGCAAGGACGTATAAAAATATGAATCTTGTCTAAACGACGCCCTGGATCAAGTAGTCACTAGCACCACCTATCATGCCCCGATTCAAGTATCGGTGGTTACAGCAATATTTTTATCATATTCAACAATTAGCAACGGGGTAGCCTAAACAAGGATGAAGAAAATCATTTTCTTCATCCAAGCGTAGACATACATGTAGGTAGAACTGTTTATTTAAAAATTGTGCAGTACTTACCTTATACTTCGACCAAAAGTAATTTGGTTAGAGACTCGAGTAATGCAGTACCAGCTATGCCCGTTGATCGGAAAAATGGGACGGGGGGGGGGGGGGTAGGAGCAGGGAAATTCTAGAAAATTCAACAAATCTGGAAAATTATTTTTTCAAGAGAAAGTTTATTCTTTAATTGCTGAATGGTCAAATATTTCTAGACAATTAATGATGATGACGAAACGCAAATTGATTTGTTGAATTTTCTTGCAGAAATTGGAAATTCTTATCTAGTTTTGACATCTTGACATGAAGTTATATTACTATAAAATCCATCTTATAAACGAGAAATTTGGAGGATAAAATAATTCATTCTTGTTGAAAAGATCATTAGCATTGATCGATGAAATCATGGGTATTCAATAGATATATTGAAAGCCCATGATGAAATATACATTTCTAAATGTACTGGTATGTAAGTATGTAACTTTGCAATTTACTTAAAGGTATAAGTAGCTGTACACATAAACACAAGTTGTGATTTCACTTATGAGCGGAATATCTCTAATATTGACCAACTATATTATATTCATTTAATACAAAAATAAAAATGCCATTGACGGCAATAACAATTGAATTGAACCTGCGTGGAAAAATATATAGCATAGTTGCATTAGAAAAATCTCATAATCACGAAAATCACTGGTGATCCGCTCGATTACGCTGGTTACCGAAACGGTTCGTTTTGGTAACAAAATGTCGGAACGTCGAAGGTACGATTTTTCTTTTTTCCTTATTTCACGCGTTGTGCGCAGAATCCCAACGACGTTTTTTCTCACAAACGTGTATCAGCATCATATGATCGATGGTCCGACATTTTGTTACCAAAACGGTTTCGGTAACCAGCGTAATCGAGTGGATCACCAGTGAAAATTGTACTGATACAAAAAGATACTACGTGATGATGTGCGATACAATATTCAGACGAGCCAATTATTTCAATTTATCGTGGGACTCCTGATACACATGTATTGCTTATTAATTAGCTGATCGGGTATATGAGTGTATGACAATATATATAGATGCCATTGGAGTGAAGTTTCATTTGTAGAGAGGTGCGTGCGATAAACAAGACCTGAAAAACAACAATGATAAATATGTTTCGACAGCTGTCAAATGAAATTACTCCAAAATCCGAATACAAAGATGATAACAATACGCAAAAATGCAACCGGAGTAATGGTGAACGAACTGATGACGATAAGTTAACGATTGATGATGACTTAAAGGAAGAAGCAACGTCTAGAGGAAGCAAACGCGCTCTAGTTAAACGCAATTCATCTCTGAGTAGCCAAGGTAATAGCGATTGTGAGTCTATGATAATGTGTCCGACACAAATGATGGTGTTCAAAATAGAGAATGGTCAGGTCATCCCTTTAGTGAATCGGTCAGATAGTTTCGATGCTACGTCCAATGTTCCCACTACTCAGACGGCAATTCACCAGGCAAGTAACAGTAAAATTACTTCCGCGGCAGAAGTCACTTCGACCCCCAGAGCCGTTGAACGCTATTTCCCATCAAAGGCCGTCAACTCCCCAACGATCTTGACAGAGATCAATGAACAAGATGACGAAATTGAGGCAGGTAAAGATCGCAAAGTTGCCTTTGCTTGGACAAAAACAAATGGCAAAACATCATTAGACGCATCAGACAGCGCAATAATTGGTGAGTCTTTGACTCAGAAAAGTTTTGGAGCAATCGGAAATCGGTTTCATCGGACATCGAGCCAGTGTACCATTCAGATAAAGGTCCAAGAGGCTGTCATATTCTCAGAAGATGCGCCTAAGAGAAACAAAGACAGCCTCATTTCCGAGTCGGCGTCACATAACGCCCCGATGGTGTTTACAGTCAGCCATCAATGCGAGAACAGTGCGCCAGTTGGACTTGTACAGCAGCCCATTCAGGTGATTATATACTGTATAACAGTATTTGAGCCAGGCCACAGGAAAAGGGGTCTTATCACAGATTTTTTCAATATTCTGATTTTTTGTTTATCTTAAAAAGCACAAAGAAACCTTTCAAATGAGCCATGGCTTACATCTTAACAATTTTTCCTTGCATATATACGTAGATCAAAAAGTCGGATCTGATTTAGCACATTTTCCTCTTAATCGTGGGCACATTTTTGGCTCTGTAGCACAATTTTGATTTTTGTGATAACACGGTTTTCCTATGGCCAGGCTCATTTTTTATACAATCTTTATATTATTTGTATTTGTATATTTATTCAACCACCAATTTGGTGACAATACTTTCTTTTTTACAACATATTTACATTTCAAAGGATCAAAGAGTAATAAAAAGTATTATTTACACAATGCTACATGTACCTCTTGACTTAAATTAATTTAGTTCCTTCAATTTCACATTTCTATAGTTATACATATTGCATATCATTTTGCAGCTATGGAACTAAATAGTAAAATCCATTTCATCATTTATACCTGGTATTTCTTGTAATCCCATCATGATATAAAACCTTTCAGTTTCTGATCTCATGTAAAAGTTATCATAATCTAGTTTAACAAGTTTTGCCTTCATTGTATTTCTAAACAAACATCTGAATCTAGTAAAAACATTGCACTGTTGTACAAAATGTATTAAGTCACCAACTCCAGCATTACAAAGGGTACATTTCCTATCTTCCCTTATGACATTGGTTTGGGTAAATACATCTAATGAACATCCTCCAGTTAGTAGCCTCACCATTTGGAAGCATTCATTTTTAACAATAGGTGCTCTTTTGCTCATAGTCCACCAAGCATTCACTTTGAACTTGGGACATACAATTCTAAAAACATTTAGTTTGTGACTTAACATAAGGAGTATTTTCCATCTTTCAATTACAAGCTTATATACATTAGTTTTACATTTCTTTTTCCATATTTCCTTTGAAGGGATGATGTTTTGTTCAATAACATTAATTATCATATCATTCAACTCATACTTGATAAAGGTTTGTAACATGTTATACTAGTATACAATACTCCTGTTCATAATTACTCCCGTTATATTATCTTTCATTGCATGCATTCTCAGGGAAAACAGTTTTCTGCAGATTGAACTTGTTCTGAACCCATTTCCATGAAATAACTCTTGGCTTCTTGTAATGAAAATGAGGCATGTAAGCATGACATATTCTGTTTTCCTGCAAATTGATAAATTGATGGTGGTCTTATCACATTTAGCTCTTGCAAAACTCTTATTCTTCTGAGTATTATAGCATCAAATAATTTGCATATTGTGGTTTGTGAAGTTATCCTCCTATGGTTATCCATTGATAATTTATCTAGATTGCCACCTTTGAATATTGGTACAATTACACCCTTCCTAAAATTATGTGGGATATATTCAATTTTAATAATAAGATTAAAAATGACTGCTAAGAGATTATATAAGGCTGGTCCTGCATGTTTAATATGCTCGTAAGCTACATTGTCATACCCTGGGGCTTTATTATTGGGCAGATCTTTGCATATGTCAGCAATCCCAGTTGGAGTAAGGGGGTCATCTAATACAGGACAATGCTCATGCTTTGACTGATCATCCATCACTCTGAGGTCATCTTCGATTTGTTGTTTGAACTCCTCATCATATGTATTATTATCTCCATCTGGTGTGGCCAGTTTCTCAAAGTAGTCTTTCAATGTCTCTCTTAGTTCATCTTCTTCAGTTATTAACATGTCCTGCTCATTCCTTATGCTAGGCGCACTACTAGTTTGGCTATTCTGGTTGCCTCGTATATTATGTAATAACATTTCATTTTTATTGATGCTAAATTTTGTTAAATATTATTTTCAAAATAATTATTTTCGTCACCGACGTTTTTTATTCAAAACAAATATTTTATTCATTCTTGTTAATACTTTATTTTTTAGCACAGCGCATCAAATATACTCTGTTATTAGCTCACATGGTGAGCTTTTGCAATCACTCACTTGTCCGTCCGTCTGTCTGTCTGTCTGTCTGTCCGCCTGTCCGTCCGTCCGTCCGTCTGTCTGTCCGTCAACAATAGTGGCACGTTTTAAAACCTCTGTCGATAGGATTCCTGTTTTAAATTATTTCTGTTCAAGATCAATACAGAAAACTCCCCTGTGACTCCTGGTTCAAAAGCTTGCCTATTTTCAAAATGGCCGTCACTTTTGTCTCGCGAAATTCACTTTTGACCAATTTCCTAGCTTTACAAATAATTTCAGGTGTCCTACACTGTAAAAATCCATGTCAATGTAAAGGGTAGATATATGTTATAATATTGTTACAAAAAATCAGCGAAAAATTATATCCATTTTTTATTTTCAGCCATTTTAGTTAACATTGATTTGTCTATCTGACTCGCGAAATCCACTTTTCGTCAATAACAGTGGCACGTTTTAAAACCTCTGTCGATAGGATTCCTGTTTTAAGTTATTTCTGTTCAACATCAATACAGAAAACTCCCCTATGACTCCTGGTTCAAAAGCTCGCCTATTTTCAAAATGGCCGCCATTTTTGTCTCGCGAAATTCACTTTTGACCCATTTCCTAGCTTTACAAATAATTTCAAGTGTCCTACATTGTAAAAATTCATGTCAATGTAAAGAGAAGATGTATGAAATAATTTTGTTACGAGAAATCAGCGAAAAATTATATCCATTTTTTTTATTTTCAGCCATTTTAGTTAACATTGATTTGTCCATCTGTCTCACAAAATCCACTTTTGGACCATTTACCTTAAACCCTCTGTCGATAGGATTCCCGTTTTAAGTTAATTTTGTTCAACATCAATACAAAAAACTCTCCTATGACTCTTGGTTCAAAAGCTCGCCTATTTTCAAAATGGTCGCCATTCTTGTTTCGCGAAATTCACTTTTTGCCCATTTCCTAGCTTTACAAATAATTTCAGTTGTCCTGCATTGTAAAAAGCCATGTCACTGTAAAGAGTAGTTGTATGAAATAATTTTGTTACAAAAAATCGGCAAAATATTATATCTGTTTTTTATTTTCAGCCATTTTAGTTAACATTGATTTGTTCATCTGTCTCGCGAAATCCTCTTTTGGACCATTTACTTAAAACCTCTGTCGATAGGATTCCAGTTTCACGTTATTTTTGTTCAACATCAATACAAAAAAACTCCCCTTTGACTCCTGGTTCAAAAGCTTGCCTGATTTCAAAATGGTCGTCATTTTTGTCTCGCGAAATTCAATTTTGGCCCATTTCCTAGCTTTACAAATAATTTCAGGTGTCTTGCATTGTAAAAAGCCATGTCACTGTAAAGAGTAGTTGTATGAAATGATTTGTCCATCTGTCTCTCCGTCAGTCCAAAATAGTGGCAAGTGGCTTGAAATAATTTTGTTACAAAAAATCAGCAAAAAATTATATCCGTTTTTCTGTCACCATGTGAGCCCAGTACCCACGGTACTATTTTTTTACTGGGTTATGGTTTAATGAACCAATACTCATTGTGTATCTATATCGCATTAGATATGAATCTGAACCAGATCGGATCCTTGCTGTTTATTGTAGTAAGACCTTATAGCAATCATTTATTAAACATTAAACCAACTACAGTGAAACCTGTATATCCGAACACCTTCGAATCAAAACACTTTTCCTTCTTCTGAGCACCACCTAATTTGAACTATGGACACTACTATTTGAAAAATTAATCTATCTAGATCTGAACACTTTTCATAAAATATCACATATTTCTTACAAAATTGCTTATTAAATATTTTCAATTTTAAACATTTTCAATTTAATACTGATTTGTTACTGATATCAAAATCAAAAAAACTTCAGATGGTCTCAGTGGGTCTTTCTATAGCATGACTAAATTAATTTGAATCGGACTTTGGAATGTCATAAAGTTACAGTATGTGGTCAATAGAAATGTTGATATTCATTGAGAATCCAGAATCATGCGGATGCAAAAACCTCGAAATCCAGACGCTTAAAAAAGCCGGTCCCAATGGCGTTCGAATTAGACAGGTTTAACTGCATATTCATTAATCATGCCTGAACCGGAGACCGCACCTACCACCACTGCATGTGCGTCAAACGTAATCCTCTCAATAATTGAGTGGCAAGGGTAAAAGTAGTAATATGATTCTAAAAGTCTTTCATAATGTAACCAGAGAAACAGGGTTTCTTCGGGACGAAATCTCAGTCACCTAACAACCTCAAACTCACCTGGCAGTGTTTGTCTACACCGAGACACTGTCATGGTTCAATTCTCCCAACGAGCGCAATTTTAATCATGTTCGAATGTTTACAGTAAAATGGTATAAGTAAAAACTTATTTACTGATTTACCTTGATCGACCATATTGAATCGGGCGGCCATATTAGCCTATGTTTCTAATTTATTTATCTTACCGTTTTGGGGTCATTGAATAAAAACAATGTATAAGTATTTCGGTGAAATGAGAATTTTTGAAGTTGACCAATTGGATTGTACCCAAACAACATGTACATAGAGATAGATACTGCCTTTCTTTCTTATGTAACGCAAAACCTTATGAGATATTTTATCACAATTTTCAAGTGTTTTGACTCACTTCCTTTTGTCTGGTTTTCTTATTTTGATGTATGAATTACAAAACGTATGACGTATGGTATATTATCACATTCAAAATTGGTCTGTTTTGCTAACATTGGAAGCGTATAAACCATTATTTCTAATGGCGATAATTGATATGAAGCGGTTTTTATAGTTTTGCTATTCTTATTGTATATTAGTACGTGAACATGATATATAAAAGTGAGCATATAACATTCCTTGGATGAACGATAATAGTACAATAACGTCATTTCAAAGCCGCAGGCCCAAGGTCCAATATTTCACTATTTTGCCCGCAGAAATGACGTTATTACTATTATTACCACCGTTAATGCCCAGGGCTGAAATAGCAAATTTGAAATAGAAAATCGTACGCACTGAACGATATCACTTTTCCCGGGAAACATAGCCGGGCGGATAATGTCATTATTGCCCGACTAAAGTCATTAACGCCCGACAAAATATTGCTCACGTCAATATAGCAATTTAAATGCCTTCTCAACTAGTACTAAAACCCCCAGAACAGGTCCTGAAAGGTGGTAATAAAAGATAAAGTTGCCCTTGAATTTCTAGTTCATGTAAATTCAATTCATACTTGAAAGCAAAATTTAAGTGTCTTTGGTCCAAACAGAACCAAAATATTTCCTAACTTCGAAGATGGGTAGTGATACTGAAAATATTGCATCTTAAAAGAACAGTTATTTATGTCACCATCACAAGTTGTGATCTCCAACTTTTTGTGGATGGTGTTCGGCGTTCAGCGGTCGGCGGTCGGTGGTCGACGTCTGCAGCAAATACTATTCAACTTGTCGGCGAAAGAAGCATCTGATATAGATAATAGTAGGTTGGTAAAACGGGCAATCCCTGAAATATCCAACGTCCTGACTATTTTGGTCCAATATATCCCCCATGAATGAAATACAGAATGAGAGTCGGAATGTTTGCACTAATTATTTTAATGTTTGCACTAATTATTTTAATGTAACGGATTATACCTTAACAATGCTCAAAATCATCTTCAATTTCTAAGCTGTTATTCACCTTTCCCCAAAGTCCAAAGTGTACTCATTTGACCGCTGCGCTGATTGGTCGATGAAAATCAATGACGTCAAAGCAGGGCACATTTCGCGCCAAAACTTCAATTACTATTAGATCGCCGAATGAGTGAAATATATCTCATTATAAAATGATAACAAAACTAAGTGAAATATATTTTTCTGACTATTTTGCCTTAAGCTGTGTCTTAAATACACCATCCGGTAAATCAAACCATAGAAATAATTGTGATACGAGTGCTAGTCTTTTAACAAAGTGAATCCAATTACGCAAACTAAAGATTGACAATCATTCAAACATTAAGACTGTATGGATTAGGAATATACATTAATCATGATTATTCAATTAAATAGTACATTATGTTTCTAATAAAAAAAATATATGAAGAACAGTTTTAAATGTCAGAGTCCACTTGCTTTTTTTCACCGGATTGCCCAAATAGTTTGTGATTGGTCATGTATTTTTGCAATTCAATATTGAAGTAACTAATATTCATCATACTGTAGGAGTTTGCATTTTAATTGCAATTCTAAGCTTAATAACAGGCCCGTAGCCAAAGGGGGGGGGGATGAGCGGAAGGAGCGACCGTTCCCCTCCGGCCAGATATTCTTTCAAAAGCATGCGGGTTTTCACCATTCTGAGCACTTTTCGCATGATTTTTTCCCAAAACTGTCAAAAAGCTCCCACTTGGTAAAACCGCTCCGGCAGATAAATCCTGCACACGGGCTTGAATTGCCGGAGTTTGTTTCATGTAGGTCTACATCCAAAAATATCTTGAAAGTTCTCTAAAAAGTTCGATATTTAAAAGAACGCCCATGGGCCTTTCAAGAGATAAGTCTCTTCAAACAGACGATCGTGTGTAATCATGATTAATCATGTGTAAAACAAGCAACTCTGGTATATCGTCTCAAAGCATACATGAACGGCCTTATCATCACTCACCAGTCATCACTCACGTAACCATTGTCAAATTCTTCGGCAGACATAAAAGTATATTATTATATTGTATCTAATGTATATATTGTAATTTAATAATTTGTTTTTGTATTAATTTGCTCTCCAAATTGGAGGAAATAAAGAACCATACCATACCATACCGTACCGTACCGTACCATACCATACCATACCATACCATACCATACCATACCATACCATGTGGTATAATATGTGGCTGAACGTAAGTGAAAGTAACGCACCGTTGGCCAAGATTTGAGTGTCGAATACGTTTTCTTCAAGGTTAAGTCGTACCCCCTTCTTCACCCCATGAGAAAATATTACACGAACTTAAGATATCATGGGATGTTGACATTTTGACAGTCGGCGTAATTTGAAAATGTACAGGAAACATTGGACTCTTCACATCAATATTTCTCTATTCATTTGATTCCCCAGAACAATATAACAAGAAGGGGGAATATAGACGTGAGTATAATTATTAAATTCCATGACATTTATCATTAATATTATTACTACTCAACATAATTTGACAATAAAGTTAACCTGTCCGTCACGATTCACATTGACTTCTAATGTGTTGAGATTTTCCCGCGAAAATCTGCCCTACTCTGACGTCAGAGATTTCAGGTTTGCTAATTATAATATTCATGAGCTGACTTTGGGGAAAGGTGAATAACACAGTAAGAGCAACTGAACCTTGTGAATCAAGATGGCTCAAAATGGGCTGACATATGATCCGATAAAGGCTTTTGTTCATGCCAGTTCACCCTCTGTAATACGATACAACATAACGTTCAGATATTTAAAAAAACACCATTACCTGATGACAAACTTGTCAAGATGCATTTATTATTCAATCATACTCTTGAAAGCGTGAGTTGGATTTTCATTCATTTTGAAATTTCATACCTTAGAAACCCAAGATGCTTATTGTAAAGATGAACAATATCCGCTTTGTGTAACCGTAATAAGACATCATTTTTCAACCTTGTATTATTTATAAATTGAATACATAATATAAAAAATGTTATATGTAAGAAACACCAGACATCAAGCATTGATTTTAGGGGAAAGGTGACCTCGACTTAAACGAATGTTTATAAAGAGATGGCCCTGTGAGTAGATTCGCGCTGTTGTAATAAAAAAAGAAATTAGTGTTAGTACTGAAACTCCGATTCGGGCCATGTTTGACGTTAACATTTATTCAGTATCTTTGTTCTTTAGAAAAGTTCAGCATCATCTGCTGGATCTGGCGACTCGAATCAGGAAATGTGCAGAATATGTTGGGAAGACGGTAAAAAAGAAAAATTGGTGGAACCATGCCGATGTTGCGGGACAGCTGGGTACATCCATCCTAGTTGTCTGCACCAATGGATCATTAGAAAAAATTCTATGACATGTGAATTATGTTGGGGACGATTTGAAGCTTACAAGACATTAAAGCCTATCAAACAGGTAAACATGATCAGTGTATATATAATATATTACACCTGTATACTGGCATTCAGGCTTACATCATTTTACCAGCAATATATCAAGATTATAGTAATTGATGCTGGTTGGGAATTGAGAAAGTAATAGTTAATAGTTAAGAACTGTTTTGGATACAAAATCATATATACTATTTCCTCTTTAACTCAAATTTGCCTCGTTAATTTAAATTTGCCTCGCCAATTTGCCTTGCCTATTTTTGTATTCGTGCTCCACCTGTGATTATAGTTACACTTGACTTTTTGTATTTAAAAACACTTATGACGTGGGTGTAAAACAATGATATACTCATAATAATCACTCAAGACCATGCATATACTCAAATCTGCGCCTCGTTTTCACAGTGGTTTTTAAGGTCTGCATACATAAAACTCGCAAACACGGATTATTCACATTACTATATTTCGTATTTCAATAACCCGTTTGCTTATTTTGTCTTACGTCACAAACTGTATTTTAATTGTCGTTTTATTTTTCAGTGGAGGTTTCCATCTCTCACGAGGACCAACAAGGCAATCATTGTTTCGCTCATATTCTTATGCATGGCTATTACAGCCACAATTATAGGCGGTCTCCATCTTAAAGATAACGAGATTCCCGAAAATGAGCCATATGTTTCTCCGATGCCGTCTTTATTTCTTCAACATTTGCGTTCGACAACTTCGACACCTTTAGACAAGCTAGCGCACAATCATGACAATACTATCAAAGAAAAGATTCATACAACAACGGAATCGGTTAAGACCACTCAGAATATGATCTCTCCCCGATTGGAAATCCCATGGGAATCATTTGGTAAGTAGACTCGTAGACTCTAAAAGGAGAGCCGAGTAGAATAAATATAAGGGTATTATAACGAGGATATTGTATTTTGCATATGCCATCGTGCGTAAATGGGTTCCGTTTTAGTTTATAAAACTTAGCGTTGTAATATAGTATAAAGTAAAAACTAAAAAATTAAGTAAGCCATGTTTTCATATTTAGAAATTAGAGAAAAATACTCTCCTTACGTTAATTTAGGAATATGCATGTATTTCGATGCGACGTGTTATTAATGAAAGGAGGAAGAAATCATTTTTCAAAAGGTTTGAAAATAACTGAGCTTAAGATATTCAAATCATTGAGAGTGATGATATTACCACAAGTGTTGTAATCGAATGCTTTTTACATTTTTAGTTTTGACTATTATTGGGATGTCGTGTTCTCTGATTTATGTGCTACTCTTGGTTCTGTCATGTTGCCATTGTGGAGCCATCTGGCGCCGTTGGCTGGCACTAAATCAAGAGATTCACTTTGGAAAGTATGGTGAACAAGGATCCAATCGACGTTTCAGCAGAGCTCGCATTGGGCAAAGAGAACGAATTTCTATTCCTGTCGAAATAATGGCGAACCCAGTTGTTTTATTAAACGATGGTGCTATGTTGCAAGACTGACCTAAACGTACGATCCGGGGTTACGATTGGATGTATTTGTAATTTAGATATTCCAAGCAATTCGTCCAGTGCAATCGTGTTTCGGGTTCGAAGGAACGCACTGAACGAACTAATGCACAGATCGAGATTAAATCTTTTCCGTGACACGAGAACAAGCTTTAATTAAGTTATGAATTAGTTCATACAACTGTAAAGCTACAAGGCTGGCTCATTGCTCATAGATCATGGCTACGATGGCTCATAGCTCATGGCTACGATGATGCATCGAACAACAGCTTAGCAAGATTCTACAGACTCGATATACCTGATTTTGGCGATCAGGAATCGGTGATACTTTTAGCAAATTTAAAAAATAAGTGGAGTTATATTGTAAAATAATGTTTTGTTTACTGACCAATGTACATGACAAGTAGACAGTCCGAGCGTTGGTGACAGACCAGCTCGGAGGACATGTGGCTTTACCAAGACATAACAAGCTAGGCCAATAACTATGTACTAATAGTGATTATTCTTCAGTAAGATTCTTCATCAATTCTATTGATAAATTCTTCGCTGTTTGTATAATTCATGAAACGTTTACCAAGTCTTTTCATCAATTGAAGATAGAAAATCATTTTTAAAATGTGAATTGGTAGACGAGATGAAAAAGGCATCTGTGACTCAGTTTTGCATACAGTACATGTAGTATTTATAGGATATCCTATGATTTTGAGGAATATCACTTTTATCTTCGAGGTGATATTGATATCTGCACGAGAGAGCAAAGAAAACGAGTGTATATATCAATATCACCGAGTGGATAAAATGATATTCTGAAAAAATCATAGAAAGTTCTTATTATCTTACACTAATGCCACATTTACTCAGATTACGGCGCCCGGCCGATTGAGTATTTTGTTCAAAATTGAATACAATATTGAACAAAACGCTCAATCGTCCGGGCGCCGGCAGATGGATCGGAGCATATGTGACCAAGGCATTACTAGCAGTGTACTAAATGTATAATATCAATGAAAATGAATTTCATGCCATATAGAGTCAATTTGGCGGGAAATCAACAAGCGGATTATATCGTCACGATATCCTCCGCATATTGGTTTTCGATATTGGCGATATCCTCCGGTCATTCATTTTGCCAATAGATATCAAAGGAGTGGTATCGATATTGTGAACATTTTGAACACGCGTTTCTCTTAAACCAGTCATCAAAACATTCTGAAACTTTTACACATCGTCAACTTAATGATCATCATTTGGATGGTAACATTATAATTTGAAATAAATAAGGGTTATGCACTGGGAGGTTTCGGATATGGGGTTTACCCAGATGGAGATATGCATATCTACCTGAGGGACCGTAGGGACCGAAGGTAGATGTGCATATCTCACTAGGGATGAACCCAATATCCAAACCGACCGTACATAACTGCTTTATCCTATACCAAGTAGAGTTTTCAGGGGCATATGGCCATTTCAATAGTACAAGGTGTAAAAATAAACAAATCATTCATATGCAAAGTCATTTAATTGCATTACCGGAAGCGGGAAGATATGCACCGGAAGCAGGAATATCTGCACCTAAGCGGGAGATATAGATATGGAAATCTCAAAATCAGGATACGGGATATATCTTTCCAACTTATCTCCCTAAAACTCTACTTGGCATAGGATAATATGTTTTATCCAGGTTATGATTTATGTGTATGGTTACTATATCTAATAGAAGGATATGCAATAAATGTGACCATATTCAGTATAATCATGTTTGAATTATCCCAAATAAATGTTTAAGCAGTGTCTGATATCAATTATATATAGTAGTCTCATTTTCTTCGACTTGATAAAGAAGAATTATCAAAGCTTATCAAGAATGGACGATCTTGCACAGGTAAATAATAAAGATAAAGATGTCTTTAATTTACCAATTTTGAAAGGGCTTTGATAAGTGATCAAAAAAGAAATTCAGATTGCCAAACTTATGGAGGGAGTGTACAAATCGGAGATACGAATATGCTACATCATGCAGATCAAATATCATGTATGATGTCCTGATGGGCTCATTATTGCTTAGCTAATAATGACGTAGTGTTAATTTGAAAGTAGACACTAATCAGCTTTATTTACTTGTTTTTCCCTATATCGGATACTCACCGGCGATGTTGTCATAACAAATTAAATATACCGTACGTTACTCTATGTATGTGGGCTGATGAGTATGTGATATCTTGCACCTGAACCCGGTGTAAAAGGGTAGGAGGTCCTATCAAATTATGGTCCTACTCTCCAATGATTTATATGGTGACCTAAATACAACTCTTTACCTTATTATCTTATACACAATCAGGGCCAGTAAGGGTCGTTTAGAAAGGGACCATATTTCCCAGGGGACCATAATTTCTTTCACACCGGGTTTTCAATCTTGAAAAACAAGATATTTTAAAGCTCCTCATTCACAGACATAGACAGAACATGGGCGAGACAAAAGCTTTTAAACCGTCAGCTTCACTGGATTCCGTTGGCAAACACCCTGCGTGCAGTCTAGTTATAAACTACGAAGCCCTCTTTTAAGATGAAAGTTGAACGAATGCAAAGGGTATTTAGCAAACACCATGACCAACGAGTTTAGCTCTAAACTCACCTCGGTTGAATTGAAGCTACATGTATTTCTAAGAACCTGGGGGAATCAAACAAATGCTTTTGGCCGATATATAAAGATGGCAGCATGGTAGAGTCTAAACCTTTTCTCTGAAAGAAAGCAAGGAGGATTGGAAGCCAGGGTTCCAACTCGATATTCTTTAATCTCCACGCATGCGTCATTTGCTATTCGTGTCTGTATAATTTGTACGACTGCATGGAGAATGACCCGATACTCTCCAACAAAGCTATCGCTAGGTGATTGTTTTGCAGAATATCGGTGTTGCATTCTGGGAGCCAATCCTCCTTGGAAAGAAAGAGAAAGTATAGAAAAACACAGGTTGATTTGACTGCCCTCTTTATTTAAAAATGATTTCCATCACCCTTTCTTTTGCTTACTATAAATAAATGACACCTGGATTTGCTGAAGTGAGGATTTCCCATGTTAAAAAGAAGAGAATTTTCAAGTGATCATACATTAGTAGCTGAGAGTATACAAAATGTAAAGTATACAGTTAAGTTTTAGTTTAAAATAGTTTATTTTTGTGTCACTGATATTACAATATACATGTAAAATACATAATAAAAACAACATTTTGTAACATCACCAGCCGGTGCCGACTTATGAGACACAGTATACATTATATCTGAGTGTCACCCATTACTACCCCCAATGGGCAGCTTGGGTCAACATTCATAAAAACAGAGACATATACGAACTCCCATGCAATGTCTCGGTATAGACACTGCGGCGGGCAGATTATGGAATCCCCAAAATTTGGGGAAGATAGTCCCCCTTTTTTGTCACAGATGTACTTGATTTTCATACAACTTATAAAATATATGTTCTTTTATGTTCACCAATCATTATTTTGTCAAAATATTTCAAAATTATTGAAATATGAGAAGAAATCACCGCGGAAGGAATTCTGAGTAAAAGTTTTGTTGATAATAGTTTACCGCACGTGTTGTTTATTAGTTAATACGCGCAATTCAACCAATGAAATTGTCTAAATTTTACAATCACGCGACCTGAGCATGGGACTAGAACCAATCACGTCAGTTGTTTATTACGAAGTTACCATGCTTACGATGAGATACCTGCCCGCCGCAGTGTTATGTTGAAGACTATCACTGCACGGGAGTTCGAGACATATAATGTCTCTGGGAAAGATTTATACATTAATAACCAATGATATCAATTCACAACTCTGATTAATCAGTTTGGCATAAATAAGCAGTTCATGGATGTATATACAAAACGTTAAGACATGTGTATCTACCTTTTGATCAAGACTTATCAATTTATTTCTCATGATCAAATAAAACAAATCAAATTGTAAAAGAAGAAAAATAGCGTGTTTTAAACATAGTATCTCCTGACCTCACTGCCGCCGAAAAAATCACGATTCACTTCTAAACGAGTGACATCTTACAATTAGACGTATATGAAAAGATGCAATGCACCTATATACGGTAGTCCATTAGTTTGTAAATAATTTAGTACTGAGGCTTGGCAATAGATGGCGAATTACTCAGATGCGAGTAGGTAGTTACCAGTTTCGCCACCAGGTGGCTGATTCGGGGGAATTAACATGGCAGGGTATTACGAAATTCCCTTGAACTTGAATATGCATCAGTTTTAGTGGTTCACTTTTCATATTACCCTTATGTATCTGATAGTTATACAAATTAACAAATGTCCAGTAAAAGAAAATATTATCTGCCCAACACAAGAAAAGATATTTCACTTTTTGTGGTTTTACAACATGGGGTCTATGGGGAATCTCCCCGACCTAGAATTCACATTTTCAAAGAAAGTTAAATTTTCAAAGTTGATAAACTCTTTTCAAAACCACATTTCTAAATGTAATTTTACATGTAGATTCCAAATATGACATCAGTTTGACTGGATTGTGAATTTTTAATGACATAAATCAAGATTATTTCTACTCGCATCTGGGATATTCAGTTGGTTCATTAACATTGAAACAAATATGTCTATGCATTTATTCAAAAATCTCCTACGGTAATTTTCATCGATCATTGATATTAGGTATTCAAATATGTTTAAGAATTATTAAGAAAATAGTTTGATTAATTTAGTGCGTTTAAAGTTTTAATACAGCAATATTTTTTACAAGTAAACCAATACATATAGTAATACCCTGCGTACAGAGTCTAGTTATAAACGAAGCTCTCTTCAAGAAGCGAAGTCAAACGAATGCAAAGGGTAGGGCATATATAAGTCCTCATGAATCGAACTGAAACTATACCTTGGGTACAAGATGTTGAACTGTAACATGCAATTCAAATTGCAGCAAAATTAATATATTGGCCCATTATGAAATCGTGCAAAGCTTTATTGCACAGTTTTAAAGCATGTTGCATGTTCTGACACATAAAGTCGTTAAATTGTCCGAATGGGCTAATTACAAATATAATGGGAATTTTGAGGGATTTTGATAGCGTTTTCTCATTGGTCATAGCCTTTTATATAACTAGGGTAGTTTAAGTCTTTTTCTTGACATTTCAAAATGAATGATTCAAAATGAAAATCTAAATCTTACAACGGATGACCAATTTCTGAGAGGGCCATTCGCGCCCCATTCGCGTGACAGAGTGATGCATATTGAAAATTATATTGCACCATGCGTTCACACTTCACACCAACGTAGCAGTTCACCTAGCTTCCTACCTCTGCAGATCCTAAATTGAAAATTTGATCCCTGGCATCTCGCTATAACATGAAGATGACATCCTTAATCAATTTAATTCTTTAATTTTTGGGCAATTTTGAGAACAAACCTATTTCGTACATTTACTTTTATACGAATGGTAAAGTCATTTAGTGTAACGCAGTAACTTTAATAAACTAGTTCTTGAAATCCCAGAAAGTTTGCAAGGAAAAAGGTATCGTAGCACTACACAAAATCATTGTACTGTAGTGTGCATGCACGTGGTTTTTGATTTCTGGCTTGCGCACACGCAGAACCATTATTATCAGGAATAAATAATGAGAGTTTTTATCATTTTAATCTTGCTCTTAATATTGAATCAAACATTCCCGTATGACATGATTTTTCTAATTACCGTGATAGCAATGTTGACGCGGCTATTCTCACGAAAACATGGGAAGAGTTGGAATGACATTTATCATAACATTAAAAACAAATTTTAAAAAACAAAATACTTTTTTCTCAGTAACACTCATTGGTTCAACAAAAATACGCAAGTTGGAAGTACTTCCCATTCTTCCTTATAAGTCAGTGCTAATCAGTAATCCCTTAGCACTTTAGTTGACATCATTAATATTCATCTACACTGGTGTAGCTATGGGGTACTAAGCTCCGGATACAGTTTCAACATATCCGTATGAGATCTAGATCCACGAGGAGAGCACATTTGTTGACATACAATTTCATCATTTGGAATAAAACTGTGGACACTTAGTACGACTCACGCTAAAAAACATCTCTGAATCAATTTAATTAGTTTTAATGCGTTTTAATGAAACTTTTATGATTTTTGCGCAACAACTTGTTGCAAGTGTGTCAACCTGGCTCCCCTCATTGGACGGTTTCATTAATCGGAAATGCGACGTCACCAGTGGGCCATGTGTGAACTGTGAACTATGATAGGCTACATATTTAGGGAGTATTTCACAACTGAAGAACACAACTCGAATCGAAGACACAAAGACAGTGACATTATCATAAGAATCAAGAACTGAGTTTTAGACAACAATTCGTTTATTAATCGGAAGACTAAAGAAACAGCGGGATACGTCCCTTCTTCAACTAAATTAGTGCTGAAACAGGTGGGTGTTCTATTTATTCTCATCCGTTGTCAAAACGTATTTCAGAAATTATCAGACGTTACGTCATTCTTCAATTGTTCTCTGACGTTGGTGGTGGGTTTATAAAATTACAAAAAGATTGCGAAAAGTTTCCATAACTCACATTTGTACCCTGTCATTTGTCATTTGTCATTTATTTTGATTCCGTTTCTAGGGTTTCACAATAGAAACCATGGTAATGCCATTGTATTGTTGAAGTCTCAGACAACATATAACTCGTTTCTATAGTACCCTTATTATGTTAATGGATTCATATTGTAAAACTTCAGGGGATTTTAAAAGTGCCACTTTGTAGAGTAAATGGCTTTTAATTGGTTCTTCATAAAATGTAAATTACTTTTGTGGCTGATCAATCGTTAAAACCCATTCGCCTAGTGATTTACATTCTCTTTTGTTTGCCAGGTATTGTTTTAATGACTACTATTAAACATTGTCATAAATAGTGGGTGTCTCAAAAAATCGAGTAGGGCCTATAGAAGAATAAAATTGTTTGAAGTAGAAAAGCAATTTTTCTGGGTGAAACAAATCGGACGTCCATGCCCTCACATGCAAGTTCAAGTTACGTCTAATCGTCAATGGACATGGAAATGCGCTCGAAAAAATCCCATGGAAACTATTTCTGTTTTATAAATAGAATTCAATTAATGTTTACATAACTTATGATGAAATAATGATTCCACTTCATGAATGCCATCAAGTGTGAAATCAAAATTGTCAAAAGCATGCAATCTTTGTGGTTATGCCGTGACGATACCAATCTACAACTTTGAATTCGTGAATAGTCGTTTTACATAAACTTTTATTTAGACTGAGATCTTTTCAAATAAATGCGAGGTTCCCATTGTGTCATCCAATCTCTACTATCCCTTGGGAAAGAGATCTTTCAAAGCTTTAGGTAAAGAGAGATCTGATAAATCAGAATACAAGGTTCCAATATTCATTTATACTTCATGTTCGCTGCGTTATAATGTAACGTGAATTCGAATGCTAGATGATGCCATTCTGATTTATCAAATTAAAGTCATTTTATCTAACACTGGTGAGAGGGGTAATATTTGCTGTGGATCCCACAATGGATGATGGGTTTTCAATCGAAACTGTACTGAATTCAAAAGGACGTGGATCGTAACCCGGAGTGTGGAAAATTAATCCACTCAAAAAGTTTTTTTTCATTTTTATATGTTGATGAAGTACCACCAGAGAGAACCCTGTCCTGGTTCAGGGCAGGAATGTTTGAATTCTCTGGCAGCTAACAATAACACATGTTGTCTCAATGGTATTCTATTGCCCAGTCACAGCATAGTGTTCACCACATGGCTTTGGATTAAGAGACTTGATTCAGATTTAGATTTTATCGCCTATTTTATCCATCGATCATGTCACATCTTGGTACCGTTTTGAATTCTGACATTACACTGAGCAGTGCTCAATATTAGTAAAAAAAACTGTTTGGGTAAAATGAATTCCAACCACGTATCAAGTTCTGTGTTTATATATTCCGCAAGGCCCTGTGTTACACGACTTCACATGACATGTACTATAAACCTCTGTAACTTGACCCGTAGGAAATGACGATGATTGCGAATTTGCGAAATTTTCAGCTGTTTGAGGGGGTTACCATTTGTACTCTTAGATCTTAAAATAGTGGGATATCCATAATGTTTATTTACTCCAGGCACTTCAAGTGGTAAAAGATATATTGAATTGCAAAGATTCTGCGCAATAAAGATGAAGTTGTCAAAGTTGTGTAATCTAGACATTGGAATTCGCTTCGCTCACAGTCATGACATGATGGCGCTTAACAGGATTTTAATATTTCTTCCAACAAGCATATTTTCCTGAAATTGAAAAATATGAGATTTTCCGTATGTCACAACTACATAGTTAATTATGTAATGTATATGAATGAATAAATTAAAATATCAACTTCATTTGCAATTGTTGATTGATCATATATTTATTTTACTGAGAAGTTCTCATCGCTATGTCATCACTTTGTGTGTACGTTAAAGTTTCTGATCGTTGTCATCACTTTATGTGTACGTAAACGTTTCTAAGTTATTGTGACTTTACAATTTACATATAGCTTTTTCTCTGCATCTTGTTTCTGTTTTATTTTTTATTTTGAAACACCATACATATCCTGTAGACGGGCCACCCGGGGTTACTTACTGTATGATGTTGGGAATTTATTCAAAATTCTGCCTAAAAATGCTATAACTACTCTCTGGTTGTGGGTTGTTTTCTTTGATTATTGCGCTCCATGAGAGGTTATCATGAGATAATCTGTTAATCGACGTTAATGAGGCGATTAAACAAGATTAAGACACGTAAAATATGTTAACGATATATGGGTATCATAATTCATTAGAAGTTCTTGCCATCCTCCTTCAAAAGACTTCATTTATGCATAAATTCTGGTTCTTGCGACCACTGTCGACTCGTCCCACACCATCATGAGAAATCATGGCCTTCTGTTAGCCTCTTTCTAGAAGGCCATCCCATATTTCTAGTTGAAGGCAGAAAGATGTGGAGTATCAGAATGGTCACACACTACCACAACAGACAGTCTACGGCAAATAAAACTTTTGAAAGTGGTTGTCACATAAGGATACAATGTCGAATCTGAGGATTTTGTTCCTTGAGTGGCAGTTTGTAAATAATAATAAATACTATTAGATGCAGTTTGAGCAAAATCGTTTTTTGGAAATGGTATAATTATTAAGCATAGAATGTTTTCTTTGTAACATCTGAAAACACAGCATGGACCGAAATTCGATCACAAAAAGCGTCATGACAGAATTATTTTTTTGTGTTAAGAAAATACTTTTATATAAGTCCGAAATAATTTTTTAAAACCTTTACATCAGCTCAGTTCGATTTGCTTAGACGTATTGGTGTTTATAAAATCATAGGCTGCACATCCATGGTCCAAAGTCTCCAATGGTATTTAGCTCTTTTCCATTTTCCTGAATTTAAGCATAAATGAAGTCCTTTGAAGAAGGATGAGGCAGCATTGCGATTCAGTTTCTATAATAATTCCATTATAAAATTCATCAACATATTAATCAAAATCATATGATAATCAGATACCCTCCTGTTCATGTTAAAGTTGTTTGCTGATTATAATTATTATTTGGTGCCCAGATGTAATGGAATTTGATATTTCATTTATTCAATCAGAGTTAATTATGCATCAGATCTTTGACTGTATACATTGACTTCGCTAATTAGTGTTAAGATAACATAGGAAGAGGTCAACACTACAATGTTAGAGAGTTCGAGAAAAAGACTCGCCTGGAGCCTCGAAACATTAGTTTTCTTAAACACATGTATAGCTACAAAAATTCTGAGGAACAATAAAGACAGTTTTATTTTATCTATTTAGAAAGTTTACCGTTTCTGATAAGCTTTCTTTTAAGGAGCGAAATCAAACTATTGAAATTAAATGGAAGTTACAGTACTCTTTTGAATTGAACATCTTTGTCAGAAGAGTGGGAGGGGAGACGAGGTGGCTTTTAACAGTATCCTCGTGCTAATCTTAAAGGGGCGGACCATTCTAGATCCTTGGGGGAACAAACCTTCTCGGAAAAAGTTTTCCTAGAATATTTATATTTGCTTGTTTTGTCACCTAATGTTTCCTCATCTTAAAGGCCTTTGGTCTTGCCAAAATCAGGGTATTACATACCAACAGAGATAGGTTGCAAACTTATCACATCCTCCGAACACGGGCCTCCAGAAGGAAGGAACTTAGTGGATGACGTCTGGAACCCTGCGTTCGGAGGATGACTTATCGTCGTCCACAGTCTACATGTATCTCTCAGGGGGTCTGGTGTGTTGTAGTTAAACCTCATTAATGAATGACCACTCTCTTATCAAGAATGCGTTCTATATCATTGATAATTGTCCAGACAATGTGGTCCAAGTCTGCCAGTCCTCACGGGTCATCTATATAGCAGGCACCACCTCGCTGGCCACAGAAGGCCGATCAGACAGAGCAATATGGTTTCTGTGAACAAATTCTCAAGTGCCAGGAATAACAAAGCAGAGCATAAGAGACAAGTTCCATCCATAGAATGTCTTTATTGCTATTGTTTATGCAAGTTGTGTTATGATAAGCGCGACAAGGTTTGATCTGTATATAAACACATTTTAAATATTTTGATATGACTAGCTATATTTTGTAAGATCAGACTAACTCTGATGACATTTAAGAACGTATTGACCTATTTTTTCTGTAAGGGGAACTAGTTACTTCTCAAGTTTCAACAGTCCTTGCTGTGTTCTGTCCCGTTTGGTATATTTATATCGATAACACATGTGACCTCGCGTTCAGAAACAAACTTTCACACAACCAACTCGCATTTTATATTTTGATTTAATGTTTCAAATGAGGGAATTGGGCATCTTCCGATCATGTCTTGTGTGTTAATAAGAGTTTGCTGACTATCAAAATTCAAATGTTATCCATAATTTTTATTTTTAAAATGAGTTCTTGAAAATGTATACGAACTGATCACAAGCCAGGAACATACTTTTCTTCATCTTTTCTTCACCCTAGGCGCGGCATAAGAATGTTAGCTGAGTTGTTCGTCTCCACTCCTCCAGGAAACAAATCTGACAGATCCATTTCATATAAATAACATATGTACCCATTGTGGTTCACAGTCTCTAATAACCCTTGGAGTATGACCGTTTCTTTCCCGGTTTCTTTTGTTATATATCAAAGATGGTTTGGCGAATGCACCTAGCCTACATTTTGAATCAGCAGGGGCAACACGTTTCTCTGCTTCCCCGTGCATGGCCTATTTTTGACCCTTACTATTTTAATCAGTACTTTGGTTAATACAACCAAAATAATTCTTTACTTTGTTTAGTGTGGTCTTAGAGCACAATTGATTTTTGTTCCAACTTGTCTGTGGAAATATGGTTCAAAGCATTGTTTGTTGACTAAATACAGCCATCCTTACCACAAAATAACCCGCGAAGATCTCAAAAGATTTCGGTGACCGAGATCTGTCGTCTGCACCAGGAGTTCATTAAGTACATCTTGGGGCAACGGATTAAAACGGGATTGGAAATACGAAAGGGATCAAGACAAATCTTGGTAATGCATCAAATATAAAGGGGCCTAAAAGAGAGAGAATATAAATGTAAGCAAATCTTTTAAATAGTTTTGGCCTATGCGACACTAAATTTAACCAGATAAAAGATCTAACATGGTAAAAATGTCAAACACACTAGGAACACATCCATTTTCGGAATTATTGCGCAATACTTTTGAAATCCATCTCCATTTTGACGAAATAAAACCAGAATACTAGACAATGGATAAAAACGCGCGGAAACAGTGAGCGAAAATATTGTCGTTCTTCATCCTAGAGTAACACTTTTTACAAGGAACTCTCAACACCATCGTCTTTATCATTTGCTCCCTTTTGAAAATAATATAATGACCCCAAGAAATCTATCTCAGATGTCCAAACTGACCACAGAGCGACGTGTGGATGAACATGTGCTCCCAACACAGACGGATCTTCACTTATTCTGGTCACGTCCCAATGGAATATGATAGTATCAATGATAAATAATTTCGGATATGTGGTTTTACATGGTAGTATATATTCAACAAGTGCGTTCACATAAATGTTTGTGTTTGAGTTATGAGAGGCTGCTGCGACGCGTTGCTATAGTAGCGGATACAGTCATCGTGTCTTTGTTTCCGCTTAAATAGAAAATGTTTGGAAGTTTCGCAATCCGCATTGTTCCCATGCCTTATATAAACAAATGTCAGGCTGACCTTTTAAAATATAATTATGAATAATATATCTAACATCTAGGGATCGGATATCTAGTCATTTCCATCCTGAAATCCATTTTGGCCAATGATATATAAGAAGGAAAAATAATCATACATTAATGTACAAACAAACATCTTCACATTCTACAAGGTCTACAAACATCTTAAAACAATACACAATAGGGCATTTTCCACGGCAAACATCTATTTAATATTAATATGAATGACAAAGGGGCAGATGTACAATAGTGAACAACGCGTTGGGTTATTATTAAAAATTACAAAAAACTAAATTAAGCCTAAAGAATATTAAACAATCAACAGCCTGCTGAATCTCATTAGGGACAAAACAAAACCTTCGACAACATTTTCTTCATATTAAAATAGAGATCTAAAAATAGCCGAGGAATATATTGGTAAGCATTTTAATATCATTACCATGTACTGAAATAATTGTTTATTTCCTAATTTTGTAAATTATGACAAATTGATTGTGATATAGCACTGTTCTTTCCTTCGTAATTTCTGTAAAACGAGGCAATTTCTGAGTATTCAACTGTAAATTATAGTGCATAATACTTTATCTAAAATAGGACACAGTATTATTTACTTTAGAAGTACTTTAGTGTGTGTTGCTTATTCATCAAATATGACAACTTAAACAAAAATAATGTAGTTTTCCAGTTGCTTGACTCAGGTTTCCAGGGATATTCTTGTAACACTTGATATCACTTACTGCGTATGTTACAAGGATGGTACTTTCCGGAAAATTCAAGATATTGTTGCCATCCGGCAGTACCGCTCAACATATGATTCCAGTAATTTAACAATTGTTTTCGCATTCCTAACTGACAAAAATTAATTAATGTCATTCATTACGGAAGGCCGGGAGTTTACAACCCTTTCCAATTTGATTTTAGTTTGCCTCTTTAAATGAGAGATTTATCTACATAGATATCTCCTATACATATTCCTCAGACATTCAGGGTAGGGGTTGACAACAACTGCTATATTTATTGAAGACTTAATTGAAGCATCGTTGTTTTAAAATTGAGTTGATCGAATGGAACGTCCTAGGTCATTGTCCATAACTGCGATAGTACAGCGAAGCCTGATAAAGGATGGAATGGGTTTGCAGACGATGCATATGGCAATGGCGACCATAATTTGTTCTGGTCTACATAAAGCTATCAATTTCAAAAGTGTTTGTCAACAAAGCCAAGTGGAATGACTTGGCCTGAGACCTGTAAAATGTTATAATATGTAACATACATCATCATCATCATCATCATCTGGTTCATTTAGCTAGGTGCCAGGTGGGAAATATAAGATGCGGAGTTAGAGATTAAAATGATTTCCTCATATCTCAAAACTTATTCTGACACGCCATTCAACAAAAGGAATATTTTATTGTGCACTATGCAATGTCTTAGTACTAAAGGAACAGTTAGCTTCTCAAAGCCTTTTGTTTGTAACGACTTGTAACTGATTAATATTAAAAATTAAATTGGATCTACGTAGTACGTATTTCTTTTTTATATTGACGTGCATTGTGTTTCAGTTGAACATTTAATTGTCATATTTAACACAACGAGGTCTCCTTTGTATTTCAATACAGCGTTCTTGCGATCGTTTTACTACTAATTAAAACAATGCGATGCATCATCACAATTGCCTTTGTTTGGATGCAGTATTTCATCATACACATTTTTAACTTGATATGCATTAACTTTGGCCTTTACATCTGAGTGTGCCAAACTTTGAGATATGGTGATCTTGTTTTACATTTGGACCATATTAGAACACGAACAAAACTGGTTAGAACTATATTTTTAGGAATGACCTTTTCCCCTTGAAGACCTTTAATCACTCATTGTAAATATTCACATGTTCGTACATAATTAAATGTATCATATTCCACCGTCCTCATTTATCACGCTATGAATATTGGGCAACGTTACAATTATTCGCTCAAAATCAACACTTCACGCCACCTTTCTATTTGCGTTAATCGAGGTTTCCTTTTGTTCTGCAGTCCCCCCCTATAGCCCTATCCTACACACCTTACATATAGGGCGAGGTTCCAATATAAAACACAACCTGGGTCTATAATGGTATTACTTCAAGACTTCAGACCTCCCCCCCTCTTATCCACTTCATCAACACAATACTTGTAGTTTGGTGGGGGGGGGGTCACAAGGGCTTGAAGCTAAGCTAGACTAGAACTCAAAATTATCGCAATATCTTCAATACAGATTTTCACAATAGGGAATAGCCATTGACACACTTCAATTGCCTCCCTATTGTTCGTGACCTATCGAGGTTATATCATCATTTGACAGTGTCGTGTTTGGGAACAGTGAACTACTAAAGGGACATAACAATAGTGTATACAATGTATTAATGTGCCCATGTCAATTATTGAAATTCGGAGAGATGAACATAAATTGAAGCCTCGTGTCATCAACTTAGAAGGCTTTCATCAGTAGGTTCAGCAACGGAGCAATCAGCGACATTTCAGTAACGTATCTAAATTTCTGTATTTTCAGAAGCATGTCGGGTATTATATACGAAGCGTTCAAGAGGATTCACTCCTGGGCGTGTAGGTCAGACGATGACTTCGCAGACAGACTCAATTACCGTTACACGGCTATGATGCTGGTGATCACGTCCATGTTAGTGAGTGCCAAGACCTATGTCGGTGACCCTATCCATTGTTGGACACCATTACAGTTCAGCGGCGCACACGTGGACTACACGAACAATTACTGTTGGATAAAAAATACATATAAAATTTCACATATTGGCTCTCTTCTCCCGGACAAAGACGTCGATAGGCAAGAGTCTGAGATTGGATATTACCAGTGGGTGCCGATCGTGCTTGTCCTCCAAGCTGTTTTGTTTTACATCCCCTGTCTCATTTGGCGCATGCTCAACAGCAACTCTGGCATCAATCTCCATAGGTAAATACTTTGTTTTAACTTCAAATCCCTTCACATCTTACCCTTTGCATTCGTTTGACTTCACTTCTTAAAAGAGAGCTTCGTCTTCATTCTGCACGCAGGGTATTCACATCTCAACTTTGTAATGAAATCGCATATCGAGGGCGAACCTGGGAATTTTAGAGAAATAATAAAATCCCCCGCCCTTTGCATTGTTTGACTTAGCTCCTTATAAGGTAATTTTCTCAAGTTTAGAACTGAAACATGTGCCCAGGGTAGAAATCTCTCTTACTGTATAAAATCAGATTAAGAATGAACTAAAATGGATTCGTGCTAAAGAAGTACTAACATATTCAACACTACATTTAAACTCAATGTTCAGACTAGTGAAATCACAATTCAAATAATTAGTAGTTGTTCAAAGTTCATAATTATACACATTCACTGACAAATTAACTCTTTCGAATTCCAGGTTGACAGCAGCTGTTGAGGACGTTGTTCAGAACCCAGAAAACAGGGACAAGACGGTCGAGTTCATGGTGAGGACCATCAACAGGTGTCTGAAGAGCCAGAAAGACACAAGAAAAGGATTGATTCAGAAGGTATTTATCTGCTTAATCTTATTTACATCAACAAAAGTATGTTATATTTATAAAAAGAAAGATGAAATATATGTTGTCCCGTTTGGGTGAGTCACCCTCGTTTCTCTCTGGTTACAATTGATAAGCTTTTAGTTTCCCTTTGCCATTTTTCGATTACATTCTAATATCATTTTACTTGTTATTTGTTATCCTGTCAAGTCATATATATCAACCACTATGTTTCAGTTACAAGATAAACTGGCCCAGAACTGCTGTCTATTTTGTGGAAAACGATATGGCAACTATCTTCTACCCTTGTACTACCTCTGCAAGGTTCTCTACATCGTGAACGCTATTGGTCAGCTGTACCTCCTCAACAGTTTCATCGGGTCAGAGTACAACCTCTACGGATTCCAGGTGCTAAGAGACTTAATCAACGGGACGGACTGGACCGAGTCTCAACGGTTTCCAAGGGTGACCCTCTGTGACTTCTACGTCAGAGAACGTGGACAGAACATCCATAGACACACAGTGCAATGTGTCCTTCCTATAAATCTCTTCAATGAGAAAATTTACATTATTATTTGGTTTTGGTTGGTGATTCTCGCCGGCATCACCATTTTCAGTCTCCTTCGTTGGTTTTACACCATGTGCTTTAGCTCCAGGAGCAAGTACATCAAAGAATATTTGCGATTGGTTGGTGATTATGACCCGGATGTAGACAGAAATTACGTCGCCAAATTTGCTGACAATTACCTTAGACAAGATGGTACCTTTGTCCTTCACATGCTTGACATAAACTTGAATGACGTCGTCATGTCAGAGGTCATATCCGGTCTGTGGGAGCATTATAAAGAAAATGAATGTGTTCCTTTGAGCGGGTTTCATATACCAGGGGCAACAGCGTCTGCTCCGAACCAGGATGACGTAAAAGACCCTAACGCACCATTCAGCCATAGAGGCAACGGTGCTGTGTCAAAACCGGGAGGAGATGACAGTAATGTCTCACAACGAAGACCTCCCGATTACAAATCATAAAAGCAATTTCAAATGTGCTTATGATGCCACAATCTATTGCCATCAAGGTGGAAGAAACCGAAACCTTCAATGCAAAGTATTTAATTATACTTCTCAATTGTTTATATGCAGTAAATGAGACTTGGATGTTTCATCCGTGAAGTCTCAAAGTGTACATCCATAAAAAGTACAATCATTGCAAAATATCTATGCAAATTATGCGAAGCAATCTTTCTAGTTGAACACCAGTTCAAATCTGATTCAGATGTCTACAAGTATTTTCTATACTCGTACTGTACTTTAGCTTAGATTTACATCATATAGTCAACGAGAGGCTGGTAAAACGAGGGACCAAACTCTAACCTGCAATTGACCAACTTCACCAATATCCTTTTAAAGATAATGGTATCAGTGTTAATTGCAACATATTTTTGTATGAAGTAGAATTAGACATAAAAATTAGTGTACAATCAGCTCTGACAATACTACACTTAATAACATTCACAGCATTTATTTTTTAGACAATCATGCTGAAAGTGGGACCAAAATTGCTATTAAAATGCAACTATTTTCGAAGATATGATACTATTTTTTAACATTAGTAGAGATAGTCTTGTAAAATTGTAGAACTGGAAGTATATGAACTGTCTCTTTGTAATATTGTATACCATAGTGCTTGTTATTTGTAGTTTTGAGTGTTTAATGTTTATTTGCAATTCTATATCAAGGCCTCTTAAAGTGAAGAATATTTCTTCTTGTACAGTAGCATTTAGCTCTAGAGTCTAGATCAGTAGTATACTTTGTCTTTTTAGTTATTTGTTGTTAATTTAAGTTGTTACGTTTAAGTTGTTGCTTTGATATATACATGTAGCATACATAGCATATATACATGATGTATGCAATATATACATGTTGTATGCAAAATATACATGTAGTATGTAAGCAGTCTGCAATATACTGTACATGTCGTCTGCAGTTTATGTACATGTTGTCTGCATACATGTAATGTGCAATATACTGTACATGTCGTCTGTCTGCAATATATGTACATGTTGTCTGCAATATGTACATGTCTGCAATATATACATGTAATGTGCAATATACTGTACATGTCGTTTGCAGTATATGTACATGTTGTCTGCAATATATACGTGCCGTCTGCAATATATGTACATGTCTGCAATATATACAGGGTGTCAAATGGCGTTGTGCCCCCCTTCCACAGCATAAACTTAGAAAGGTACCTACACATTATGTATGTCATTGGAAAGAGCATTCAATTCTGGATAAAATAAACCCTAGATGACCTACGTCAGATATTGCTACATAGTGTCACATGCATTTGAAATGTACTAGTGTAGTGCTCTATTTCATTGATTTTTGAGAATCTGGCATAGACTTTTTTGGTATTGATGAATACCCAAGCAACGGCCCCGACCTGAATGCTGCAGAGCACATGGGGTCCATATTAATGGAGAAAACAGAGCAACTTATGGACACTGAACCTGCAGAGAACAGATATTCCAAAGATGCCCTGCTCAAGAACCTCCGAAAAGTATTAAAATCTCTTGAGAAAGACACAGCCCTTTTCCATTCCCTTTTAGCTTCATATCCTGCTAGATTGGTAGCGGTTAAGGCTGCCCAAGGGGGTCATGCTCACTTTTAAAAGTAAGTTAAAAATATATCTTATTTTCCATCATGCATCTTCATTTTTTCACATGTTAACAACAATTAAATGCTCTTTCCAATGGTATATGGTATGTGTGTTTATCTTTCCTAGTTTATGCCGTGGAGAGGGGGCACAACACCATTTGACACCCTGTACATGTAATGTGCAATATACTGTACATGTCGTCTGTCTGCAATATGTACATGTAGTTTGCATACAAATATATGTCTTATATGTAAAACAATCATCATGTTTGAAAAATGGAAGATGTAGCAGATCTGATATAAAGTACTAAGTATTTTTATATATCTAGCATTATCTATTCACCAGTATTTATATTTTCATTTGTACCTTAATACTCAGCTATGAACCAAAAATCCTACATTTTTGTAGTCTGGAAATAAGGAGACATGAATCGGCCAACAGGTTATTGAGTAAACGCTGTTATCAAATGAATCTCATCATTACAGTCAATATGGATTGTTTGTCAGGAAATAGTGAAAAAGAGAAACATAGAATAAAATCATGTTTAAACAGGAATAAACTATTTTTCAATCCTACATAAAACAAATTATCATCTTATTATCTGAAAGTTATTGGACCAAATAACAATTTGCTAAAAACTGTTATTATATTTAGTGTCAGACTTATCTGAAATGCATCGTTGGAAGACCTTGATCTACCCCTGTATCTATTTTACAATTATCTGCCTAGTTACACAAATGTAATAATGTATTTTGCTAATTTTGTATCATTATTACCACAAATGGTTCAATCGCATTCCAATATTGTACAGAGTGATACGATATAAAAAGACCAAATTTCAGAACATATAACTTTTTAACATTATATGTACTATTTTATAAGATATTGATGAAATAAAATGTATGATATAAAATAATATGTATTATTGTGTTGAGTGACTGGCATCTCTGCAATGACATCTCTACAATGACATCTCTCACGTTCAACATGACGTCCAAAATTAATATATTGATGGGGATGGGCGGTCTTTCATACCATCACAATCATAATTTATTAGACCATGTATCGAATCGGCCCAACCCGTCCCTTGACCTTCTTGTAATCTTCGAAATGGAATTCATACTGGGTGACAAAGAACGATAAAATCAGCGAGTTCGAAAAGCATTTAGAGTCCGAATCAATAGCCGTGTAACAAGGATGGTAGTGCATTCCTGCAAGTAGGTTTGTACAATTTTTGAAATGTTGCCCTTTGTATTTGCTGATATAATTTCGGACACCAAAACATCATATTTTTGAAATATGAATTTCCTTATGTGATGTCCATTTGACGACGGCTACGATCAAGTTTTTCAGACGGCATCTTAGACGCCCAATGTTGGAGCAAATGAAACCTTGAGAATCAAGATGCTTAGACGAGATAAAATAGAGAAAAAACAGTGTCATTGGAAAAAGTTGAAAAAACACTCTAAATTGACTGCAAGGTTGCTAGTTGTTTAATTTTGATACTTGAACTCATCCTTGGTTCAAGGCTATTTCAATTCTTTCTAAGCTAAGCGAGGCCCGATCTTGACGGAATGAAGGATCACAATTGAACTTGTTTAGGGACATTACTTTAAAGACTTATAAATGGGTCACAAAGAGCTGTAAATGATTTTCGAGCATTGTAGCTATTCATGTATTGGTAGTCTAAGGTTTCTGAGTCGTATTACAAAGTACACAAAAACATACTTATAATGTATTGTGTACTTAACTTCTGCCCAAGTTCACTTTGCCTTGACTGCTCTGAACCAGATAGAGTACTAGTACTCTCAGGCTAGTACTACTATTTTATTTGACATGATATATTAGTTTTAAAACTTTTAAGTATATATGAACGTGATGAACTGCAGGAGTTAAAATTCCGTCCTTAGCTTTCTGGCACAATTAGGGCATATAGTATATCCTTAACAATTAATCAAATGTTTTCACTGGTCATGCTGACGTCCTGGCATCTGGAAGCCATCTTAAAACGTATGCAGTTTGTCTCCAAACTTACCACAATATGCGATTAAGTTTGCTTCTGAATTTCCGGAACCAAAAATGTTTGGGATGGTCAAACGGATATGTTTTGGAAGTAGTTAATGATATTAAGTATGCTTCGAATCCATATACTTTCCTCGTGAACAAGTACAAAATTCGATTTATATTTCATGAACCTGATCAACCCTTAAGACTCTTGTGCTTCGTGTTTCTGGGATAAGTGCACAATAAACAAAACAAGAAAAAACTAGATCTGTCAACGCCAAGATGCGAATTACAACGTCATGGATGTTTTTCTCTTTAGGGTAGACCGGGTAGAGAAAGTGTTATAAATATTGCGAATACTATTCCCGTTGCGAGACTTGTCCAAAACCGACCATTTTATCACATGGATCTCGAGACCACTACTTTGTCTTTAGTTCACAACAGTTTTTTCTGCAGTCCCTTGCGTTCATGCGACTTAATATAGGAATGATTATGCGCATCTTCGTCATCTGTTAAATTATATTTCATCTTATGGTGTATGTGTAATGGTGGTAATTGCTTCGGCATTCAACTCGCAAGTAGTTATCACTCATTTCATTTTTAGTTGTAGTTGGTTCGATACGATGGTATCGTATGGTTTGTTGCAATTTCGATGAACAAATGTTCTGGTTGAATGTTGGTTTAGTGACAAAAAAGCAGGTTTCTTTCCTCCTCACAGGTGAAGGGTTGTGACAGAACTCTTTGGAAATCGGATCGTAGCATTGAATGACCCAGTTGAGTGGCCCGGAAGTCCACCCTACTTAAACCCCCTGAATATCCTCATTTGTGGCCACACAAAATCAAGGTCTTCACACAATTTGACACCAGTAGTTTCAAAATCCTTTCAAAAAGAGTGTAGCTATATTAATTTTGTGCTTTGTGCCAAATTACAATCTGCATATTGATTTATAAGTAAGTTTAAATCGGGAAAACAAAAAACTCGTAACCACGAAGACTCGAACACCACAGAGAACTGTATTGTATTTACACATATGTATCGTTTTTAGTGTTCTTTTACTATGAATTTCGGATCCAAAAAGTTATAATTTGGAGCTGACAACTATGGATTTCATGGAAACATGACAACTATATATTTCATGACCAGAACGCTAGGATCTCATCGGTGAATAGAGATCTTTGTTTCATTTGATCATTATGGAGGCTTTGATACATAGACTAACATAGCTTTGGAATCTTGTTGAAGTTTTAATGAGATTTGAATTGGTAACCGTTAAAAACTGAATTTTTGTATCTATTTGATGAGATATTTGAGTTCCCTTACACTAACTTTTATTTGCAATTAATTTTCATAATTATATCTCTGTCATATTCCCCGCCCTCTGATTGGTCAATGCCTAACACGTGACTAAAATAACAAGCGATGATCAACAGGGTAAATCCTAATTGACACAAAACATCTTACAACTAACTTAAAGGGACAAAGTGCGTAAATGAAGTCTCACTTTTGATCTTCATAGTATTTCCATTGGATTAATGAGTACCTGATCTTTCATTTGACACCAAAAACAGCTCAAACAGACCACATCAGAGTTGACACTAGATCATGAAAAAATATTTTTGATCTATCAATTTATAGATGTCAAGTTTTTAGCAATGCCATACAAAAATGGCATTGTTGTTTGCATTAATTGTCCATTCATTTTTGATAGGTTTTCAACCATACGCCATCTTTTAGTCCAAGAGTTATTTAAAAACATACATTTTGTGAAAAGTGGTAATTCACTTCTTTCGATCTCTGAAGTTTAAATGCTGTTTTCTATGCGAGTAATTTTTTTCACTTCAGTAATGACCCAGATTTAAGTTTTTATCATATTCGATTGACTTAGTAGT